CATCCATCCATCCATCCATCATCCATCCGTCCATTTATCCATCATCCATTCAACCATCCATCATCCATCTGTACATTCATCTATCACTCATCTGTCCATCCATCTTATCCATCATCCATTCAACCATCCATCATCCATCTGTACATCCATCTATCACTCATCTGTCCATCCATCCATCCATCCCCCCACCCATCCATCTGAGCCACACCAAAAGGGCAGCCACTGGCTTTAAAAAGGCATTGAGGCTCCTGTTTCTCTTGAGCCAACCTGCTTGCTCCCCGTCACTCTCCACAGAGCCACCTACGTCCCCTGCTCCTGCACGGGGAATCCATCTGTACATCCATCTATTACTCATCTGTCCATCCATCCATCCCCCTGCCGATCCATCCATCATCCATCATCTATCTGTACATCCGTCTATCACTCATCTGTCCATTCATCTGTCCATCCAACCATCTATCCACCCATGGCTTGCCTGACACAGGCCCGGGGTCCTGAGCTGGTACCTTCTCATCGTACACGATGCGCGGCCTGATCTCCGGGGCCTGGTAGCCGGGCGTGCCCTCCACGCCCAGGGCGCCCTCGTGGAAGGACTGCCTGGAGATGCCGTAGTCCGACAGCTTGATGTTCACGTGCTCCTTGACGTCCAGGGACCAGACCAGGATGTTGTCCGACTTCAGGTCACAGAAGATGATGTTCTTCTTGTGCAGGTAGGCCAGGCCCGCGGCGATCTGGTAGGCCGTCTTCTGGGTGAGCATGTGGCCCAGGGGCATGAACGAAGAATCTTTGCAAAGAAAGACACATCAGACGATCATCAGCATGATTGGCCCCTTGCTTTTTCATTTATTCGTTTTAAAAATGTATTTTTAATTGCTTTCAGAGAGGAAGGGGGGGGGAGACATACATCAATGAGGAGAGAGAATCCTTGATTGGCTGCCTCCTGCATGCCCCACCCTGGGGATCAAGCCTGCAACCTGGGCGTGTGCCCTTGACCGGGAATTGAACCGTGATCTCCTGGTTCATAGGTTGACCAGGAGACACACCAGCTGAGCCACACCAGCCGGGCCCGCCATGGACTCTCAGGCCTCCAAGGAGCAGCCCCCCCCTCACCCCCCCGCCCCCCCATGGAAGGTTCCGGGAGCGGTGGGCACCTTTGGCGTTCTCGGACAGCACGGTGTTGAGGCTGCCCAGCGGGGCGAGCTCCAGGGCGAAGCAGAGCGGGTGGATGCTGATGCCAATGAGGGACACGATGCAGGGGTGCTGCAGGGCGTGCAGCATGCTGGCCTCCTGCCGGAACTCCGAGAAGTTCTTCATGGCGTCCGTGGCCCGCAGGTGCCTCAGCATGGTGTCTGCAGGGGGCGGCGTGGCGTCAGTTCACACGCATTTTATTCAAAAAATATTTTTTTAAAAAAAATTGATTTCAGAGAGGAAGGGAGAGGGAGAGACAGAAACATCAAGGATGAGAGAGAATCATGGATCGGCTGCCTCCTGCACGCCCCCTACTGGGGATCGAGCCCGCAACCCGGGCATGTGCCCTTGACCGGGAATCGAACCGTGACCTCCTGGTTCATAGGTAGACGCTCAATCCGTGAGTCACACCGGCCGGGCTATATGCTTTTGAAAGTCACGTTCTCATCACAAAGTTACAATTTCGTCTCTTCCTCCCGGACCCGCTTTCTTTGTATTGTTCGACGGCCCTAATTTTTCTACCAAGAGGGCCAGTGACTATTAGGATCGGCAAGGTGACCATGGCAAGCCAGGGGCAGTGGCCCAGGTGACCCTCAGCCGCCCGGTGGTGAGAGGCTCCCAGTGCCCGCGCTGGGTGTTAGCGGAAGAGCACACGTCCGAACAGAAATGACACAGCCCGGCCTTTGTGGTTCGATTCCTGGTCAGGGCACAGGCCCGGGTTGCGGGCTCCACCCACAGTAGGGGGCCTGCAGGAGGCAGCCGATCCAGGATTCTCTCTCCTGGTTGAGGTTTCTCTCTCTCTGAAATCAATTTTAAAAAGTGTATATGTATTAAAAACAAAAAGAAGAAGAAGAAAAGCAAGGAGGCAGGGCCCTGCTCACCGGCTGGGACGTTAGCGAAGTTCTTGAACTTCTTGATCTGGAAGCGCTTCACCGCCACCGGCCGGCCTTGGTAGCGGGCGCGGTAGATGATGGTGCCGCTGCCGCCCTGGCCCAGGACGCTGCTCTCGTCCTCGCTGTGCTCCAGCCCGCTGTTCTCCAGGAAGAGCCTGCGGGGGGCATGGGGGCTCCGGTCAGAACAGGCGCCCACCCGCCCGCGCGCCCAGAGGAGGGGGGTGGTGCCTTGCGGGCGGGGTGGGGCCACAGCTGCCGTTCCCAGAGAACATGTGCTGGACCCTGGATCCTGCTCAGACCGGTGGGCTCCGCAACCCCTGGACAAGGACCCCATTTAGGAACCATGATGCAGCCTGGCCGGTGTGGCCCAGTGGTTGAGCGTCGACCTAGGAACCAGGAGGTCAGGGTTGAATTCCTGGGCAGGGCACAGGCCTGGGTTGCAGGCTCCATCCCCAGTATGGGCGTGCAGGAGGCAGCCGATCCATGATTCTCTCTCATCATGAATATTTCTCTCTTCCTTTCTCTGACATCAATAAAAATACATTTTTAAAAAATCAATGGAAAAATATCCGCGGGTAAGGATTAACCAAAAAATAAATAGACAACTAAAAGTCCCCTGGGACGGGGCGAGAGGCGGTGGCTGCAGCAGCTGCCAGCAGCCAGGGCGGCCTACCTGGCCGGGAAGTCGGTCATGAACAGCTCGGGCACCAGCTCCTGGAGGGGCACGGGGAGGTCGGGGTGCCTGGGGCAGGCGATGAAGTCCCGCTCGATGGCCGTCAGCACGCAGTCCTCCATGTCGAAGTACTGCACGCCCTCCGCCTTCTCGCTGGGGTCGGTGTGCCGGGCCCAGGAGGTCTCGCAGACCGGGCAGGGCACGTACTGCTCCATGAGGGGTGTCCCGTCGCTCTCCGTGGCCGTCAGGGCTAAGTGGGGACAGAGTGGGGGACAGCTCAGAGGACGGCGGCTGCGGGGTGGGGAGAGGGGTTCCGGGGCAGCACCTGCAAACCCAGCCTGGTGGGGGCCTTCCCAGGAGGGGGGTCTGTGTGCTCTCGTCAGCCCCCAGATTGTACCTGAAACATGACTACTGCACTTAGGTTCCTTCTTAAAATATATTTTTATGGATTTCAGAGAGGAAGGGAGAGGGAGAGAGAGAGAAAAACATCAATGAGGAGAGAGAATCATGGGTCAGCTGCATCCTGCACACCCCTCACTGGGGATCGAGCCTGCAACCTGAGCATGTGCCCTGACTGGGAATCGAACTGAGACCTCCTGGTTCATAGGGCGATGCTCAACCACTGAGCCACACCGGCCGGGCTCACACCTATTCTCTGCTTGCTTAGTCACCAGCCTTCAGAGGGAAGGGGAGGGCTCCTGGGAGGAGGCAGCCCAGTATTGCCCTGTGGCCTCCTCCCTGGAGAACACCCCGTGGTTCCGTGTCTGTTCCCGGATCAAAACAAACAGAGGGCCGAACTGTCACTTCAAAGAGTATTTTCTTTGGGCGGACAGTCAAAGGGTTTGAGAAGGGCCGTGTGGGTGGTTGAGCTCCTGTGGGATTGGGGGGTGGAAGGCAGGCAGGAAAGGGGAAGGGGGGTCGTTGCTGGGTGTGGCTCCATCGGCGGGATCCCCAGCCCTAGTTGGTGTGGCTCAGTGGATAGAGTGTCGGCCCGTGGACTGAAGGCTCGATTCCGGTCAAGGGCACGTACCTCAGCTGCAGGCTCGATCCCCTGCCCTGGTTGGGTCTTTGTGTGGGAGGCAACCGATTGGTGTGTCTCTCTCACATCGATGTTTCTCTCTCTGTCTCTCCCCTTCCACTCTCTCTAAAAATAAATGGAAAAACATGCCTGGGTGAGGGTGAACAACAAAAAAATACTGGCATATGAGTGAACCCCCATGGTTCACACCCACCTTGTTCAAGAGGCGCTACACTAACACGAATAAAGATGGGGTTCAAGAATGTCCTCTTAGCTCCGCTGGTGTGGTTCAGTGGTTGAGCGTCAACCTATGAACCAGGAGATCACAGTTCGATTCCCGGTCAGGTCAGGACGGTTGAGGGATCTATCCCCAGTAGGGGGCGTGCAGGAGGCAGCCGATCCATGATTCTCTCTCATCATTGATGTTTCTCTCCCTTCCTCTCTGAGATCATTAAAAAAATATTAAAACAAACAGACGTTCTCTTACCGGGAAACCACTGATCGATCAAGGAGTTGACGTGGTCGGTGATGAAGGCCATGGCGGAGAAGTCCCTCACTTCCGACTGGCAGATGATCTTTATCCCTCCGCTCTTCTTCTTTTTCCAGTTCACGTCCGAGGACTCCACGCTGCCGCCAGAGACAAGGAGGGGCCCACTGTCATCGGACCGTGCAGGGCCCTGGGACATCTCTTGGCCCCTGGGGTGAGGACCGACCCCCAGGGGTCCCCAGGCTCCTTGCGCCCGGGCAGGACTATCTGGGGTTGGAGGGGGGCAGGGATCCTGCATTTGTGTATTTGCGTGCACGGCCCTGCCTTGTCCCCATACGGCCCCCGACATGGTGACTTGGACATCCTGAGGGCTTTGCAGCAAGGGACCTGGCCCTCAGGTGCGACCTGAGAACGCTCTTTCTTCTTGGTACCACGGCATTCTCATCGGCCAAGTGGCCACCGTGACCCTGCACTAGAAACATGGCCATGAAAGTAGCAGGCACTGAGAATGGGCCAGATCAGGCCCTTGAAGGAAGTCACCTGCCCCTACTCCCTTCTTTTCTCACTGTAGAATATTTCGAAAAACTCATTGTAAATATACTGCTGGCGTGGCTCCGTGGTTGAGCACTGACCTAGGAACCAGGAGGTCACGGTTCGTTTTATTTTTTTGGTTAATTCTCGCCTGAAGATATTTTTCCATTGATTTATAGAGAGAGTGACGGGAAGGAGAGAGACACAGAGAGAAACATCAATGGGAGAGAGACACACCGATTGGGTGCCTCCCAGACCAGGGCGATCAGATCGATCCCGCAACCGAGGCACGTGCCCTTGAGCGGAATCGAACCCAGGACCCTTCAGTCCACAGGCCGACGCTCTATCCACTGAACCACACTGGCCAGGGCGTAAGTGTTTCCCTTAAAACAGTGGCTTCCTGGGCCATCATTTTCCCCTGATCTAATAAATTCCATGGAACGTCCCCTTTTCCTGGCTGAGGGATGCGGGGACAGTTGACAAGTGTAGGAACGAGAGCACCGGTTATTACAAAAGGCTCGTCCACAGGAGCGGCCACAGGCGGGCGATGCAGAGAGCAAGGCATGTGGGAAAAGCTCGGTGCTCCCACGCCCTACCCGAGTGCACCATCCTCCCCCAATGATCCCCAAACCGTGGGCGCCTGGGCACCCTATCTCTCACAAGCTGCCGTCATGAGCCGCTCTCGGGAGCAGAGCTGGACGCCCGGTGGCCGGTCCCCCGCACCCCCCGGGGGAGGCCCCCATCCGGGGACCCACCTGAGGTAACCCCCATCGAACGTGACCAGGAGGCCTTCCTGCCAGTAGATGGTCTGGTTCCTCTTCACCCGGAAGGTGCTGCAGCGATTCCTCTGGGTCCCGGCAAAGCTGTAGATGGTGACCTTCCGGTGGCGGCTCTTGCTGTTCTTCTTCGTCTCGAACAGCTGCCGGGACAGAGGCAGGTCCTGCGTCAGGCCCCCGAGCCCCTCGCCGGCCCCGGGCGGAGCTCCGCAGCTGGCAGCTGGGCCCCATCATGACAACTGATCCGGGTCTCCCGCACCCCGTCCTCCCACCCCGCGCATCCAGCTGCCCAGGGAACGTCTGCATCCAGCTGCCCAGGGAACGTCTGCGTGATGGGCAGGGGCCTCTAGGGCAGGGATGGGGAATCTTCTGAGCTCGGCGTGGCAGCATTTTGAAAAACCCTAACTGAACTCTGGTGCCGTGTCACCTATAGAAGTTTTTTGATATTTGCAACCACAGTAAAACAAAGACGTATATTTTTGATATTTATTTTATATATTTAAATGCCATTGAACAAAGAAAAATCAACCAAAAAAATGAGTTTGCGTGTCACCTCTGACACGCGTGTCACAGGTTTGCCATCACTGCCCTAGGGCATCCTGCGAACACATGCCCGGGATGTGGGCTCGAGCGAAGGTCTTCCCCCAGAGATTGTTCAAGTCTGTCCCTCCCTGATTTTACGAGCAAAAATGTATGTGAAGAAATGAGGGAAATACAGCCCGGCAGGCGTGGCTCAGTGGTTGAGTGTCGACCTATGAACCAGGAGGTCTGGGTTCGATTCCCGGTCAGGGCACATGCTTTCTCTCCTGGACTGTGATGCTGGGGAAAGAATGGTTTCTTTTTCTTTTTTTTTATAAAGAAATATATTTTTATTGATTTCAGAGAGGAAGGAAGAGGGAGAGGTAGATAGATATATCAATGATGAGAGAGACTCATTGATTGGCTGCCTCCTGCAGGCCCCACACTAGGCATCGAGCCTGCAACCTTGGCATGTGCACCTGGGAATTGAACCTGTGACCTTCTGGTTCATAGGTTGAAGTTCAACCACTGAGCCACACTGGCTCGGCTGGCATACACTCTTGACCAGGAATAAGACCACTGTTCCTTTAAGAGATCTTCTAATATCTGATAAGATTATCAAAATCACATCAAGTTTTAGTTATGATAAAAATGTAATTCTGTTTATTTTTTACATCACCTATGGGAAATCTTAAAATATAAATTCACAGGTTAAGCTACAACAGAAGTTATTTGTGACAAAATGTGGATTAGTGTTCTATGGATGTCTCTTACCTCTTTGGGAAAAGATTTCAATAGGGGGAAAGGTTTTATTCTGTGAATAACAAACAGC